TCTTCTTTATTTGAATTCGAAAAAATTGATCGAAACCACTCTTCCTCATCATCATACACCCTAATTTCAATTCCAAAAACAAGAGTCAAATTTCTACCCTCATCAAGGATAACAAAAAATAGATAGTAATATAATGTAGCAAATAGATAAACTCTATTCAGAAGATGTGTACGAACGAGATATCCAGCAACAAGAAGAAGGAAAAGGATTGAATAGAGGAACTCCCGAGCATTTGGCGATCTCAGATGTGTCGATATCATTGGTGACTCATTATTTCGATGAATCATTTCTTCGGATAGAAAAAGTCTATAAAAAACAAGCTCTCTATGTCCACAAAAGTTAGAAGTAGTAAGATAAGCATACAACTATTAATCTCTCTAGATTTCATTTGTAATATCGAACTTTTTTTAGATTTCCCTCTCGGTGGTATTAGTATTTCCATCGAAGCCCGACTAAGTCTGAATTTGCAACCAGGAAACCATACATTTGGGGGTAATGTGTTTTCTTAATAAGACGACTCCATAACTAAGGAGACTAAAACGCGAGATTGCTCTGATCAAAGATGAAGGAATACTTACCGCTCCGCCCAAACTTTCTCCATTAAAAAACACAGAAATTAATATAAACCTCCCTTTCACCTCCCCAAATAAACCAATAAAACAAAAATGTCAATTCAACAAAAGCCTCAAACTTTAATGTGTTCTCTATAATACCAATTTGAAGAAATTGTAGAGACATCTATATATTTGGGGATTGGGAATGAACCTGTTGTAGAAATTGGTAGATAGATTGATGAAAGTTTGAAGACCAAGTTTTTGAAAGAGATTAATCTCATCAACGGCAACTGCATCCTTTGGATCAACTCCACTCCACTCTGATGCCTTTTGCTCTAAAGATGCCATTTTTCTTCTCTGATGCTCCAATTTTTTCTTGGATACTAATTGGAGAGTGAAATTTTAGTAGCGTGAATTATTAATTTCATTTTTAAACTATTTAATAGTTATTTTAAGTACCTCTTTATTTAGCTATCTGAACTTGAATACTCTCTCGATCTTGCAATATGAATGAAATATATTTTTAGATTCTCATCAAATTTAGAATATTCTTTCGAATTTTTATCAAGAGTATATGTTTCTACTATAGTTTGAGACCAATGATTATGTCATGTTGTATATATATCGAGGTGTATTTAACGTTAATTAGAAAGATTTACTTTAGAATATCGATAATTCATAAATGAAATTAATAATTTGCATCAAATCAATGGAAATTTTCAATATTTTTTTTTTAAAAATAAATTTTTAATGAACGTACTACTTTTAAGCCTATTTTAGTAAAACTAAAAAAGGAAAATTATATATTTTTTACACGATATAGCTAACCTTTCGCACCTCCTCATTATCTCCTCTTTACAAGAATATTAATAAACACACATATATTAATATCAAAATATCTGATAGGAAAAAGGGTTTGTTAAGATGTGAAAACGAAGTAGAAAATTACTTATAAAATAAGTTCAGGGGTAATAGGACCTTAGTATAGTATAAGTGAGTCTCTGGGATTTCGAGCATACGTTGAGGGGGTACTTGTGCATTTTCCCAAAAAAAAAATATCTCTCACAAGCCAAGTGTAAGCCCTTCGAGCCCTAGATGAACTTCATTTTAATTAAGGGAATTTAAAATTTTATATTTATATATATATAAGCAAATTAATCATATCATATATTATATTTTTTCGAAAAAAAAAGAGGCAAAGATGAAAAGAAGGAAGTGACTCGGAGGAAGAAGAATATTGAGTGTTTCAAGCAAAAGATTAGCAATAATTAATCCTAATTAACCTACAAGAAATTAATTAAGATGAGTTAAAAATTGAACCAAGAAGAATGTCTTTCGGCTAATAGTGCTACTAATCATGACATGACTTATTTTATAGCATCCTTTAAATCTTGCTTCATCAAAGTTAAAATTAATTTTTTGAATGTTGTTTTATTTTTATAGTTAGATATTGTCGATGATTAACATAACATGAGCAGTGGCGTAGCTAGAAGTTTCACGAAGAATGTCCAAAAATATATATAAGTTAAAAAAAGTTGATGAATGGGTGCACTGGAAAATTTAAAATCGAACTACGTGATATTAATATTTTTTTTTTTATAAATAAACGTATTTTCAAGTTTCAAACTTACATTAATCTCTAGTGACGACAACAATATCGAGACATGAAAAATTGAAATAGAAACAACCGAGGTCTTCTTTTGTTATTAGAATTTTATTTCAAACTTTGATGAAAATAAATAAAAAGTTAAATTCATTGAAAATTCAATTAATCTAAGCTTACTAACTATTACGTTAGACAATTAAAGAAATAATAAAATACGAGCTCTTTAAAAAATGACTATAAAAAAAGAAAAAGAGTCATGCAGGGATTCGAATCTGCACCACAATATCTTATTGTATAAAGGGTGTCGAACGTATTAAATCTAACTATTTTGAACAAAATTTTACATAAATATATGATTGATTTTTCGACAAAGGATGTCTATATAACTCTATCCCTGAATATGAGTATTCGATTTTAAGGGAAAAACTTGATTGTTATAGTTTAATGTTCGTATAGAAAATAATGTGTATATATATAATAAAATAACAAAGCTAACAACTCTTATTAAGGTAAAGAAATAGAATGACCCAACAATGGTTTACGGCAGTAAGTTTGTTTCAATGGAAATAATACGAATGAAACTGTTTTTCTTTTAATTAAAGATTTTGAGTTTGAATTCTACATATAAAATTCTTTTTAATAGAAAATACTTCTCCTAAATAAGATAATTTTACGTAGCGTGAATCTAAATTAATTAAATTTAAATATTATATTAAACACTAAATTAAAAAAAATACTATCCATTTTATTAACCAAAAGACAAAATCACATGAAACCCTTATCTTCATCATCCTACTTTTGTGGTATAACCTAAAATATAAATTCAAAGGTCCCTTTTTCCTTATGATTCTTTTTGTCTAAGATACAAGGCTCATGTGGTAATCATTTTCCTAGTTAGATAAAAATATTATTATTATTATTATTATTATTATTATTATTATTATTATTATTATTATAAAAGACATCTTACCTAACAAATAGTTTGAAAATACCTAGGTGGACTACCAATGAGACTAATATTTGTACATATTATTCATAGGATAATATCATGGGAACTGAAATTATTTTAAAATTTAATTTTTGAGTTTTTTTTTTTGTATAAAATAAAAGTGAAGTAATTTATTATCCTTTTTTTCTTCAAATTTAAATATATCACTTATTATTATTGTTATTAATAATAATTTATTCATTTGTTTTAGTGGTTCAAATATTCACATCACTTGCAAAAAAAAATTGCCGGGAGAGAGTAACAAAAGTGAAAAGCAATGTTACTCTTTTTCTTTTTTCCAACATTACTTTTACCTTTTTCTTTTTCTTTTTTTGCTTTTACATTTCTCTATATTAATTAATATATGGTTTTAACAGATTTGAAAAATATTATTTAGAAATGAACAGCTTATGTTAAAGGATAAATTAAAATTAATCTTTTTTTTCTTCTTGATATATTGAAGTGAACAAGTTAAAGTTTTTTTTAAAAAATCGCAATGAACTAGTAAATGTGAATGGAAAGACTAATAATTTATATTCATTTGTTACATTTAATTAACCATCCACATTATTGGATGAATTATAAACACAACTAGAATTTTAGGTAATATTGCAAGAAAATAAAATAAAATAGTTTAGAATTTTAGGTAATATTGTTTTTGTTAATTATGTTTAGAGAATGTGTCCACACCACTAGTTTATAATTTGCTTTAATTATATCTAATCAAAGAACAAAGAAGGGAACATCCCATGAGAGTACTCTCCAACTATAAAAGGCCAATAATTTTTTTTGAATGCTAGGCAAATACATACATATATATATATTCTCAAATATAATTGAAGATTATTGGAGAAAGAGGGACAAAAAATGCAAATAATTGGGAAAGTGAATTGGAACAAAACAAGAAGCAAAAGTGTAAGGCTTGGGAAAAATTACATGCAAAGAGAATTATCATCATGTGATCATGCTTCTTCTTCTTGTTTATTATCATCATCATCATCACCAAGGTGGCTAGCTTTTTGGAGGAGGATAAAAATGCACAAGAAGAAAAGTTCCAATAATAATAATGATAATTTTTCTTGTGTATATGATGAAGAAACATATATGAAGAATTTTGATGGAGGAGAAGTTGGAAGAGTAGAGCCTGATAATCTTTATAGGTCTTTTTCAGCTAGATATGCTAGATCCTCTCGCAAGAAGGAATTTCTGGGCTTATAATACGAGGAAGAGACGAAATAGAATCAACTTGAATTCAGGAGTTAGGACTATGTCTATTCAAAGTCTTAGTGAAACACGGGATTTCTTATCTCAGGTCTTTTTCTTTAGTGAAAATTTGGTCGATTTAATAGTATTATTGGCCTATGTTGATTAATGTGATTGGATATTTGATACCCCTTTTAAGCTTTTGTGGTTGTAAATAAAGAGTTTATGCTTTTTTTTTTTTTTTTGCTTGGTTTAATCCAATTGGTCTTTGTTCATTAAATTTTGGCTTCTCATATATAACCAATATTTCAGTTCAGTAAACTCAAATCATCTCTTCCCCAGGAGAAAGAGAGAGAATCAAAGACTAGAAATGTCAACTTGGAGATGGCAATTTCTTTTTACAACTTTTTTTTGCAATATGTTTGGATTAAGAACCAATCACAGGAGCCCGATGAAAAATGACCATAACTATAACTGTCCTAAGATAACGAAGTTCATGATGGAGTAAGTTCTGACTCGGGCAAAAGACTCTCTCTCTCTCCCTTCGAGACTACGCGAAATACACACATGATAATGTCTTCCTGCTACATTTATGTTTATGAGCTTAACTGTGGGGTAATGATAATTAACCAAAGGTAGGAGGACTCAATGATTGAGAAGGTACATTCATAAATTTGATTGATGAGATAATCATAAGTCAATAGTCATAGTACATATGTTATTTCTATGATCAATTATTCTGTAAAAGCTTATTCTGCAGCTGGCTTATTGGCAGCATGTTTACATGCAACACTCTGATTTTGATTCTTTAACTCATCTCCAGCTACCAGAAAGAAAGCAGTGTGCCTGAAAAGCAAACCAAAAAAAAATGTACGGGGTTCTTTCAGTCTGCACAAGTGCATTTACTTGAGGTAAGTTCAAATAAGATCTAGCTTGTACCTGAAAAAGTTCATCATTTTAGTTTTGGAGTCTTCATCAATGTCTGTAACGCTGTCTAGTGCTTGTTGCATATGTTGTAGCCATCTATCAGCAGCCTTATGAGTGACTGGAAATGGGCGATGGCGTCCAATTAATGCTGGATGACCTGCATAAGGTTCAAGTAAGGTCCTTACAGCTTTTCAAACTACAAAAAGCATCAAGTAAGAGAAATGAGACTACTTAAGATATAATGTAGAGGAGAAACTTGAAATTCTACATCCAACTAACTTGTCCACCAATCATTTCAAGAAAGTATTATTGACATCACATTTCCAGATCATCTCATCACATGGCAGGAAGAAAACTTGAGTTGGGAGTTTCGATTAGCTTTTAAACCTCAAATACCTACAGCTCAACCATATCAAACACTGAGCAGTTGGACGTTGATTTGCTGATGGCCTTCCTAACGGTCCTCACCATAGGAGTCCCAACTCAGCCCCAAGAAGCTTATTTTATCAATATTTTAAAGTACTGCTCTTTCTTTGTTTGTTTTTCTTTTCTGGATTCACAAGTGGTCGAAAGCATTTGTTAAGCAGAATGGGGAAAGTTTTCTGAGTTTTGGCAGATACAGAAGAAAAATGGAATAATCTAGTGCACAAATAGCACAAACTGTTGACCAAAACCTTCAAGCAATTAACAAGCCTATCACAGTGGCAGAGGAGATTTCATTAGACACAAAAGATCAATCATTACCGATCTAGCAAAAGTCTTCAAAGCCACCATCGTGCAGATAAGAACGCAGTGTAGTAATGGCTAAATTGAAGAAGTAGTTGATTTGCAATAGATATGTGTTAACTGATTACTTGGTTGATTGGGTAATAACTAATTCTTTTTATGATCTAAGACAAGAACAAGAAAATTAGTAGGGATGAGGATGGATCCAAGCAAATCTATTTACTATCTTCTAGCTGAGAAAGATAATAGGGACATAAGTGCTCCTGGTTAGTAAATAGCAACAACAGTGGTGACACGAGCTAAAAGAGGGACAAACTAGTAGAGTGTAAATATTGATTCGATGACCTGACCTAATTATTTCTGCACTTGAGGAAAGCTTAGGAAAACATTGTTGGAAATTAGTCGTGTTGTAATATGATTCGATTATCTGACCTCATTAATTCTACAGTGTCAAAGGTGAACATGTAGGAAAACACTCTTTTGGAGTTTTAAGAGCAACGGCCAATTAAAATTCTTATCTTAGTGAAGGACGCAGATGAAGAAAATATGAAAATATGTCTAATTTTAGAGAGAATAACTTTATCACTAACTATGGAGAAAGAAATATTAAAAGAAACCACATCAATCAAGTTTCAAAACCACTACAAATTGTTGCTTTGGATGCAAAGATGAAAATGTGAAGTTTTCATGTTTTCTTATTTCCTGTCCAACTCACTAAAAAATTCATCTATAACATATTAGAAAAGGACAAGCAATAATAGTTTCGCAAACTATTTTTATTATTTACTTCCATCCTCTTCAAAACAGCACAGGATGGCTAAGCTGCATCTCTTAGTGTTTTGGTGACTTCCCTGAAAGGCTCTCTAAGCAAAGGCGAAGGCCTACTTTAGATCTACCTAGCCCAATCCTACTAAGATATTTCCCTTATTAATCCAACAAAAAAGTTCTCATCTGTTCCTTTCTTTTCTAAAAAAAATCAAAACAAAAGAAATTGGATATTTTATCTTCCAAAACACTGCCTAACCTTCCCAATAGCGAAAATGGCCCTGGAAAAAGAGAAGAGAAATAACTAGCATCAAAAACTACCTTTTATGTTGACAATATAGGTAAACAAACACTTAAAATTGGCCTCAGCTGGCAAGTAACATCTAGACACTTCAACTTGATCTCAACTGGCAACTACACACTCCAAACTCGTCCCAACTGTGTCTTGTGGATACCTGACGCTGACGTGGCTCATAAATTTTGAAGGTGCCTAGATGACCAGTTTGTAAGTATGAGTTGGAGGGTTCAACTGACACAGTGAAGATAAAGCAGTTGAGATGTCTAGATGTGCATACTCAAAGTTGAAGCATTTACTTGCCAACTAAGGCAAAGTTTGAGTGCTTGTTTATGTATTAAGCCTTATATGTTTAACGACTTGATCAATGAATCAAGAACTGGACATTTATTAACAGACTGAAAATCTCCTGTCATGTTATCCTTAAACAGGAGTTTTCATGGTATAATTACGGAACACTTAAGCTGTTCCATTCTCTGAAAGAAAAGAGTCATTACAATCTGTTTCCACACTGATACTTATATGAACTTTCTTATCCTATAATTATTTTCCTTCCCCTTAGTGATACTTTGCTGTTGAGAATTCAGAAGTAACAAAAACGCACTAAGATGGCATGAGAATAGTCATCAAAATAGTGTTTTATGGTCAAAGACTCCAAAAAAGTGACCAGCATTAATAAATCCTGAACATCTGTAGTACACCAAAAATTTAGGAAACAGGACAAAGGCACTCTAAACTCCCCAAATGGGATTTTACAAAGCAAGCTTGCTGACAGTTTCTTTCTCCACTACTAAACTAATTAAAATGCCAAGAAATTTTCATTCTCAAAAGGTTGTGGCATCCAGTAATACAAAGAATCCTTCTTATTTCATTTGCAATTTCGGTCTATGTCGTATTGCTAGTTGGCGAGTTTATAAGAGGATGGTGAAGGGCTTAGTTCAAATCACTCCCACAACTTTGTTACTTTTCTTTTCACATGGACTGTATTGTTTATTCAGATTGCTTAATCAAGACAATGTTGTGGACACTCAAAAGGAAGAAAAACTTAGCCTACAAGTGGCATGTTACCAACATCACATGCTCTGGACAAATAAACGTTGAAGAATATTATAAAAAGGGAACCATTTTGAAAAGACAAAGGTTTATTTCGATCACAAATAATCTTTATTGCCGATATCAAAGCAGTTAATTTTGTGCTTTCCAATCTCAATAAAAAAATTTGAAGGTTCAGTTGGAAGTTTATGAGAGAAAATAGATTCAATCTCAAGAATTGAGGTCGCCATAAAATAGCACCACAATAGACGGATATATCAGGTAACACTTGCTTACCTTTTCGCTCCGAGTACAAAGGAGGCCCTCCCATTCTCTGTACAAAGAATTCATATTGATTCCTAATGGCATCTTCTTTACTTGAATTAGAGAAAATTGATCGAAACCACTCTTCCTCATCATCATACACCCTAATTTCAATTTCAGAAACAAGAGTCAAATATCTTCCCTCAAGAAAGGTAAACCATTACAACAACAACATACCAAGTAAAAAATCTCAAAATGGGGTCTGTGGATGATAGAGTGTATGCAGACCTTACCCCTACCTCATGGAGGGTAGAGAGTCCAGACCTTACCCCTACCTCATGGAGGGTAGACTGAATGTAGACCTTACCCCTACCTCGTGGATGTAGAGAGGTTGTTTCCCAAATAAAGCAAATCAAAGTAATGATGTAAAAGAAGAACAGCACTTAAGAAAACATGACAACTAATAGTACATGCAAGGAACAGTGACAACAACATAGTGGGATCACCTAAACGTAGTAAATAATAGATGACAACATATGCCAAAAGCCAGAAACTACACAAATAAGGCTAATACTACGATAGACACGATGCTCTAGACTACCATCAAGCCATATCCCGTCGAAAAATAAGACAATGCTCAACTATCTACTAACCTTCTATCATAATTCGCAACCTCCGTACCTCCTATCATAGAAGAGAAAAGTGCAACCACTCTATCAGTCAACCTCCATTTCAAATAAGTAATATGAAGACAACTTTGCCAACTTATCCGCAGTATGTTTAAACCGCCAATTGATTCCTTGAAAACAATGATTCGAGAGACATTGCCTACCCTCCCACCCCAAAAAAACCAACCACACACACTCAGAAAAAAGGACACAATAACCTTATTTTTGAACCACCCAAAGGAGCGCTTTGAACAAGTATTAATGAAATATAAAGTCTAATCTTGATTTTCTGAAACAAAAACAAGATGTCTTCCCTCATGAGGGTAAGCTATCTGGGAAAAAAAGTAAGCAAATCCAACAATTACAATAATCACTAACTTCATTCCAAACAAGTAAACTAAATACAAAATCCAAAATTTCAGAATCCTGCTTATATTATTCACAGTAACTTCTATCACTAATCAGTTTCCTTAACGTCTAAGGATGTACTAACACAACAAAAGATTCAACAAATCAAGGATCCCTGTAACACCTCTTTTGCAAATGTAACAGGACAAATACAGTTCAGTGCTTCTACAAAGTGATTATAATAACTAGTCATTGCACTAGTAGAGAAAAATGATTAGATTGGTCATTGTACTAGCAGCTCCTACAACCCTCCCATGTCGGTACCATCTCCTTTTTTACCAGCTGAGCTGCCAAATCAACCCTTTGCGGCGCTTGCTTCCTAGCTAGAACTCACACAGCTCAAACATCATAAATGAGAACTAGGCATAGTCTGACTCCTTAGCACAGAGAACAAGAGTACGATACTTTACTCGAGAAGAACAAATAGTTAAGTGAGCAATCACACATACAGAACTTCCTTACCAAACAGTAAAAAGGAAATAAAAGAAGAGAGAACCAAATTGTTAATATAATCAATGATTCATAAGTCCTTACTAATCCCACCCACCACAAACAAAATTAATAAAACATATTTACCTTCAGATTGACTCACAAAACAGAAAGCCCAACAGTAATTCAATTCAACCAAAAACAAATTTTGTTAAATACCCATTAAAGAAAACTGAATACTCATCAATAAAAAACATTTCTTTTTAACATAATCATCAGAAGGATGAACCTGTTGTAGAAATTGGTAGAGAGATTGATGAAAGCCTGAAGACCAAGTTTTTCAAAGAGATTGGTTTCATCAATGGCGAATGCATCATTCGGGTCAACCCCACTCCATTCCGACGCCTTCTGCTGCAATGATTGCATTTTTTTTTCTTCTTTTGCTTTGCTTCACTCTTTGTTGGCAATGGCTGCTGAGTGCTGAGAGAGTTGAAGAAGGTGGAGAGCGCCTTTATATACGAGCTTATGGCGGTCGCGTGGATTACACGCCTTTTCGTCTGAAAGTGGGACTTTGTAGGGCCATGTTAAATAGTGACATGGCAAATTGAAGAAATATGAATGGAGGGTTCTCCAATTTTTTTAAAAAAATAAATTTTGGAGGAATCTGATTCCAGTTTTGCTAAATTCATTTTTAGATACGCAAAAATATCTTTTCTTTAACCAGAAATAATTTTCACGAAAAAAAATTATATATGGAATATAATGTTTGAATAAGCTAAAAAAATAACAAGTTTTAGGCAGAACTAGAGTTGTCATGGGCTAGTCCACTTCATTTTGATTAGCAAAAATTAGTAAACTAGTCAAAATAAATAACATATTTAGTAAAAATATCCATACTTTATAAATATTAGCAATAATGTCAAAAATGTCATTATTTTAAGAAATTTATGTGTCCCAATTTTCTTCCTATTTTATCTCTCTTTTTCAATTAATTCTATATATATATCCTTTTTTTTAAAAAAAAATCATTCTCTCTCATATTTATCTTTTCAAATTGTTAATTCTCTCTCCCATTTAATTTTTTTTTCTCTCATGGTTATCTTTTTTTATTTTCCTCCAACATTCAAGTTGCAAATATCTTTTTGCCATATATTTTGGTTGTTTTTTTAATTCAAAGTTGAATCAACAAGAATCCCTTTAATTAAAGTTTTTCTAATTTTTATCCTATTTTCAGATTTCTTTTCTAATTTTATTTTTGTTTAAATCTTAAAAAAATGGTGTTTGTATTTTTCAATTTTCGTTATGATTTACTCTCCAATGGCTGAATCCAAGAGGCTTACTAGAGGTATTCATCTTAATCAACCGATTTCTGGTGATTTTTCATCCTTTAATTTATTTATTACTTAACAAATAGTGTATAATGTATGATCCGCTGCTAAAATGAGGGAAGAAAGAGAGTAAGAACATTTACAAGACTCATTGGTGTGCAAAACCTTCCTCAAATTCAGAACGCAAATGTAGAATCTTTGTCTACTCGTGAGGATCTTGAAAAAGACAACGAAGATCGGATAGTTGTCGAACAATTTTCTATTAGTTTGTTTTGTATTTATAGTTATTTTTTAGAATTTGGTATGCTTTCTTAATTTGTATTCAAATCACTATGTATATTATCAATATTTGTATTTATTAAAAATTTCATATTGCATGGTTTATGAATCTTGTATTTGTCCCTAATTTGTATTCATCCAAATGTATGTCAACTAGTTATGTATTTTATTTATAAGAAGAACAACTTTTTATTAGTTTATTTGTATTCGAATAAAAATACAAATAATAGACATATTGGAGTGAATACGACTTAGAAAAGGAAACAAGATTTTGAAAAGAAAAATAAATACACAGTGAAAAATATATACGAATACAAATGTATTTCTTAAGTAGCTACATTTTATTTGACATACATATTGAAATGAATACAAACTAATAAAGGTATGTCAAATGAATTTGACCTTTTTTTCTAATTTGTATTTATTTTAAAGGTATGTCAACTAGGTATGTATTTTATTTAAGAATAAGTACACCAAATATTCAATTATTTCTTTTCAATTTTATATTTCATTCACTTTTTCATCATACTAATTTTTTGTATTTTATATATTATTATACAAAATTCTAAATAAAAACTAGATTAAATAGAAATACAAATAAAATACATATTGAAATGAATACATACAGGATTTTTGAAGAAAAAATAACTATATAGGAAAAAAATATATGAAAATACAAATATATTTCTTAAATGACTATATAGATAGATTCGCATACCTATTGGAATGAATACAAACTAATAAAAAACTATAATAAATATAAATAGAATATATTGGGAATGAATATAATTTTAAAAAGGTAAAAATTCTGGAGAAAAAAAATTTAAATTTTATTTGAAAATGTAACAGATGAGAAAATTAAGGATGCTTGTCTTTTTTTGAAATATTCCCCCCTTAATTTTCTCCTTTTTGTTATTAAATAATTATATTCTTTAATTAAAAATAAATAATAAAAATATAAATAAGATACATAACAAATTAAAATGACATTTTTACTAAATATTGAAATTGTTGCTAATGAGTCTTCTTAAATGCTAAAATATTGATATTTTGAAAAATTTCCCTTTTGATTAATTTATACAGATTTTGATATTTTACTGATCAGGTCAAGCTAACCCATTTTTTGTGTGGGCTAGAAAACGATCGGCCCAACCCACAAGTGTGGCTTGTTGGGTCAGCCTACTTTTTCAAAAATTATATTTTTTTATAATTATTAAATATTTTAAAATATTATCATAAATATCGACAAAATAATATTACATTATGTTAATATTACTACTTGTTAATCAAATCAATAAATAAAATTATCTTTATAATATTTATTAAATTTTATTTTCAAGTAAAAATATAAATATCTAAATAAAAATATTATCTACTTATTTTGAGTTTGAACTCTCTTTAATATTAAATTTTAATATTATATTATATTTTTTAATTAATAATTTATTGGCCCACAAGCTGACGATACTGATATTTCTCAAACCACAATATTTTTTTGACACATGTAAAAGTGATCGGTAAGCTTATTTAGATTGAACTAAAAAGTCATTTTCTTAAATGGACTGTAAAAATTTTAACTCAAACCTACTATATTTTGAATTATGTCAAACTAGCCCAATAAACCTAACTCATATTGACGACCCTAGACAGATTGAACTCAATTGGCCTTGTACTTGATTCAGATTATTAATTAAATTTTTCTACCTTTGAACACTTAAATTTAATAAAACACAATCTTTTATTCAAGAAATGTGATACGAAGGCATCTTAAATTAAAAGTTCTTTTATCTGTTTTCATTTTTTTATTTTCTGATAACCACAAGGCAAGAGGGGGGATGGGTGCCTGATAAACTGTGGGCCAGATGATTCCCATAGTTTTTGGCTTTCTAGGTGCAGACATTGTGAGGTAACAAAATATATTTATAGATGCATATGAAATTTTTTTTTAAATATATTTTTTCATATGAAAATTTTATAAGTTTTAAAACTATTAAAATAATCTCAATATTTATTTAATCTTATCAGATAAATAAAAAAATATAAAATTACATAATAAATTATTATAAAGCTAGTTGTTCTCCACTTAAGTACTTGATTCAATCTAACATTCACTTCTCTTCGATATAATTGAGAAAAAATGAAACATTTTTAATAGGTTCTTCAAAATTTTATTACTCCACAATTATGAAGTGTAAGTTAAAGTGACTATATATTGGTGAGAATAATAAATTTTATATCGGTGAGAATAATAAATTGTAAAAAGTAATATGTAATTATAAATTTTAGTTAAATATGAAATCAATGGTTAGTAGATACAAATGTGGAGTTGTTTTAATAAAATATAAACTCATTAATTAATTTTTGTATTAAAATATCTCAAATCATAATATGTATTCTCATATGATTCCACATCATGATTTTTGGAGAATATAGAATCACATCTCATGATATGAAATCATGAGATGGAATCAGCGTAAAATTGCATGTCCAAACGCTGATTCCATCTCACGATATCATATCGTGATATGTTATCGCATGGTCAAACACCTATTTAAAATAGAAAAATAATTTAAGATTTATGGTCTAAAATAATATATATATATATATATATATATATATATATATATTATATTAGAATAAAATAGACATTAAAAAGTTAATTACTCATTATATATATATATATATATATATTATATTAGAATAAAATAGACATTAAAAAGTTAATTACTCATCATAGTGTATATGTCATCATTTGAAATCGAACAAAAATCATTTTAAAAAAAAAGTAATTTCTTTTATATTTATGGTCTAAAGATGAACCTGTAACTGTAAATACAGAAATTTCAATTAAGTTACTATTTCTTTATATAGAGTAGACTCAAAATAAGTGTCACATACGTGCGAAGCATATGTGGGCATGCATTCTGCCTTGTCATAATTGCATTATGATTTTGACACAAATGTAGTGTAGCACAATCTCACAACAAGTCCATTTTTCAGATCTGGTGAAGCTACAAAAAATTGGATATCTTTCTGTGCTTTTTTTTTTTGGGGGGGTGGGGGGGTTTGGGGGGACGCATATTAAGAAGGAAAAGAAGCAAAATGTTTCTCAACACAAGGGAAAAAAACAGACAACAATTTCATCAAAGATGATACAGCTATTATTAAGATCATCCTCCAGCCAGGAAAAACTTTACCAGCCAAGCTTTTGTGCTATTGAAAGGCCACATACGACTGTTATTGAGTAGATACTACAATCCATAAACACTGCACCCATAACGTTTTGCAATAACAATCCCAGCTCCAGAGCCTTTCCAATTTGATCAACCATACCAGCGCCAGGGATACCGTTTGCTGCTGCTTTTTGATTCCTCTGTGACCCAGCTTCTTCTGCGAGAAGGCGTGCAATAACAATCGATATGTTGGTCAACATCAGTAGCAGAAGAGGTCTGAAAAATATGACCAACTTGAAGAAGTGGCTGTCATAGGACAAAAGAACCAAAATGGCAGCCACGAGGGAAAAGTTGAGGCGGATACTCTCAGAAGCTGCAATTGCAGAACTTATTTTATTTGGGGCGAAAATGTTGTGATAGTTGCTCTTCAGTTTTGAAAATCGACCCCCATCAGAAGCAGAAAGGCTTGGAGGATTTACAGTAGATGAATCCGCATATAAATGATCTTTGTCATCAAGATACAAGGCAGGTTCACTTGTTGATTCAATGTTTGACTCACATTTTCGCATAAATGGAGTTGTTCTGCTTTTGCCATCAGATCCTTCATGCTCACCAGGCTGAATTCCATGATCACCATCAAACAACAATGGTCTAGAGCCCTCGCTCCCACTAATAGAAACTGTGAAGTAGCAATAAGTGAGTGACAAGTACAATAAGC